GGGTAGGTCGAACCGACCTAGCACCTCCGATGATGACGACCTCTTCGACAGGTGTATATTTCCTGAGCCTTTGGGCCCTTCAAATAGCCTCGTCATCCGACCAGTGTATCAGCCAGGGGACTTGGAAGACACTGAGATGGGTAAGTGGTGGCAAGCTTCGATAGGCTGTTGGCCTCAGTCTGTGGCCTCAGGGGAGATGATCCTACAGGCTACCAGCATCCATATAGCTGGCGTGCGCCCTGAAGCCCGAGAGTCTCTCCGTCAACTCTTCTCGAGGTTCGGGAAACTTGACCCCGACAGGTCGGTACCTCTCGCTCATAGTGTACACGTGACTTGTTGTTCTCTGTTAGAGAGGTCTTCGTGTCCCCTCGGGGCCTCTGGGCCAGGGTCACCTTCTTGGACCACGTTAACGCTTTGGGTGCTCTCTCCCACTTACAGGGTACGCTACCGCCGTCCTACTACTATCTCTCCATCCGCTGCCTCTAGGCGTACCCTTCAACGACAAGCCTCTGGAGCTCACTTGGCACATATTCAGGCGGAGACCGGGGGTTGATGATAATGCTGACAACTTTGACTCAGCCTTGCGCCGGGCGGGGACATTTGGAATTCGAGATACCGAGAAGTACAGTATCAACGGCGCTCCTGTCGATGAGCTATGGCTGCTATCTCAGCCGAAGCGCCGAGTTTTACGAGTCGATGAAGCCACAGAAGAGGATGAGGAAAGAAGATACTCCCTCCGAGCAGGAGGAGCCTTCAGCCGGCACCCGAGCTGAGTGGTTACGAAAGACTGTAGCGATGCTCGAGCCCAGCGAGTCGGCTTCCACCGGTGGTGAGGCCACGTCAAATATAGAGAAGGAGGCTGCTACAGCCATCACGGCTACGGTACCGGAGAAGGAGGAAGACAGTGATGCTGTCAGCGAGCATCCGAGTGACGTCTCTGATGATGATGGATACTGAGGGATGGTTTCTAGCAACCTCTGTGTCGTCTTGGGTCGATAGTATGGGAGGCCGTCGATCAATTGTCCTCATACGGGGTGATCGAGAAGCGGAGGTCATTTTCCTCGACATTTTTACGCTGTAAACATTTTGGGCCTCTCGTGATCTTTCGGCGCACGTGAATACACCCCTCCACATATTCTGAGAATATTCGGTTTTTCGGCTCGTGCACAGTCCCCTCAACGAGTATCATATTGCGGCTCAGGGAGGTATGCTCTCATGCTCTTTAGGCCCGGCCTAACTGTTCGTAGTTGATCAGAAGTCGAAAAGTGGTAAAGAATTTTGTCCACGTTGTTACCATACACGTGTTGGAATCACCCCCCCCCCCAGAATAGCAACTTTCACTGGGGAAGTATATCTAATCTCGCGCTTAATTTGATGCTCTACATCAGAAAAAGAAGGAACCTACGCAATGGTATCGAGGCCCTTGTTTCGTCAGTACCGCCGTTTGTATCGCTACCCCCAGGCAAAGTCCAGATGATTCAGAGGGTCATCGATCTCGTCCTCTATTCCGGTCGATTCTCGATCCGTGTGGCCTGCAGGCTGATCGGGAGACGCGTATGGTTCTCGGCGGGATGGTTTCTGCGTGCTTATTCGACATCCTTATTCGCTGGAGCTGCTCACATCCAGGCTC